ACGTGAGAGCCTTGAAGTTTCTCAAAGCACAAGGACATCAAATGTACATTTTACATGTATTCTAAATAAAATATTTTTAAAGACTCCAAAGTATAATTCTATAATTCCTTGGCCTATCAACCAATTTAATTAATTTCAACTCCAATATCTAAGCTAAAGTGTACATCTTCATAAAGTTTTATTGCTTTCTCTAAAGAAATGACACAGAGATATAGTATATATTCCTGGATTGTTATTTCAAAAATTACATGCAGACAAATAAATTTCTCATTTTGTATAATGCAACCAATATAAAATAAGCTCCATGGAAACACCCACACTAAGAAACAGTACTGCCAGTACCTGAAGACATGTATGATGCTCTAACACATTCTCATAGTAAAGAAAATTTCTTGACATTTAGGAACAATTTTATTTTTTCATAATAGCTTCATTCCTACCTTATAATCCTAAAAGTGATTTGTGTTTGTCTTACATGTTTCCTATCTATAAAAGTGAAATCATATATGTATCTTTTATCATTTGTTTTGCTTAATATTAGAACTTACTAGCTTTATGCTATTGTAAAAAGTTACTATAATTAGTTCATTTTCATTGCTGTATAATGTTGTGAAATATTAACATACTATAAATTATTGTACCAAGGGTAGATATTTGGATTGTTTGCAGTTTGGGACTACTGTAAACAATACTGCTATGACTATTCTTGTACATATCTGTAGGCATATATATATTACCAGTTCTCAAGAAAAATTCTGTGAGAAGAACAAACATGGCTTCTAAGATATGCTTAACCCTTCTTAAAAATGGTTGTACCAATTAAATGAGAATTTTTGTGTCTAATCTTCATAAATGCCTGATATCAATTTTTTGTTTTTGTTGTTGGTTGTGGGGCCTGGGTACTGTCCCTCAGCTCTTCAGCTCAAGGCTAGCACTCTGCCACTTAAGCCACAGCACCACTTCTGACTTTATCTGCTTATGTGGTGCTGAGGAATTGAACCCAGGGCCTCATGCATGCAAGGCAAGCACTCTACCACTAAGCCACCTTCCCAGCCCCCTGATAGCAAATTTTGTTCACTTTGTTTTATGAGACTTTTATCTTCTTTTTCTTCTTAAATAGCAGAATTAACAAATTCAAGGTATAAATTCTCTTATTATTTATATCAAACCAAGTAGACAACAATGCTTGATAAATGTTGGTATAATTTGTTGAGGGGAAGGGAGAAAACAAATCATTTAAATAGGAATACAGGTGGACCCATTGCAACAGGCCAGGCAAAAAAAATTGGGGATATGTAAACTGAAACAATTACCAGAATTCACACATGGCAGCAAAATGTCCCAACTCTGATCAGCCAAAATGGTAAATTCTTCAATGATCTACTACTATGCATTCAGGGAAGACCTCAGGGGGCCACAATGAAACATGGCTTGAAAGTAAAAGAATGGAAAGAGATCTTCACGAAAAAAAATACCACAAGCCATGAAAAAAACATTAAGCACAAGGAATGTAGTGGCTATCTTAACATAAGACAAAGTAGATGTCAGGACAGAAATATTACCAGGAATAAAGAGGGATATTTCAAAATATATTTTAAAAAAACAACTGATTCACAAAGCAACTTTAAATATGAATTAATTCAAGGGACTTTAAAAATTCGTGAAGCAAAACCTGATGAAACTGAGAAGAGGAACAGACACATTTACGATTATAGTTGGAGATTTTAACACTTCTTTCACTGATAGTATGAGTAAACAGAAAATGGTATAGGATTGAAAAAAGGCTGGGAACCAGAAATGGACAGAGAAGATTTTATAGTATATCCACTAAGTTGGCCAGGTATATACTAGGTATACAGTGTATCTTTTTCATGGTCTTAATTTGCATATCTCTAGTAGCTAATGAAGCTGAGCATCTTTTAATGTGCCTATTTGCCATTTGTGTATCTTAGTGAAGTTTCCATTCAAATCTCTGCCTATTTTTCATTTGGGCTGTTTTCTTACTGCTAACTAAGAGTTGTTTAAAATATATTTTCTAGTTACAAATCCTTCATGAGATAGGTGATTCAAAAGTATCTCCTGGTCTGTAGTTACCCCCCTCATCAATTTCTCATGAAGAGGTTCTACATTTTGAAAAAATGCACTTTACCAATTTGCTTTTATGGATAGATGTAGTTTTGGTGTCAACTCTAAGAACTACTTTCTTGCGATTGCAATTCCTCTTTCACAGAGGAAGTTCTTCCTCAGAGTTTCAGGTGCCTGGGCTGCCAGGAGAATCCTTTCCTATTTTTTGAGGAGAACCAAAAAGCTTTTCATGGAGTTCTGTCCGCACAGGTGCTCATTTCCAAGTCCCAAGTTCATGCTAGGGGCAAACAAAAGGGGCAAAGATACATTAGGTACTGGCTTAGAGGTTTCTGAATTCTGGTCTTCTTCTATCTACTTGCTTCTATATTTTTCAGAATCCTTAAAGAACTGTTATCTGAATTCTGACTAGGCTTCATAGCTGTATTCATGAGAGACAAGGTACAGTGTATTTACTCCATCTAATCCAGAAGCAGAACCACAAACGATCTTTTGAATAAGTAGGATGTGATTTTTTTTCTGTTAAATACTCAAACACAGAGTCACACACAGCTAAAAATAAATCTGCAATTAGTTTTATTAAAATGTAAACAAAGCTAGTACCTTTAATATAACCAAAATTACAATCATTCTCAACTGGAAAAAGACAAAAGGTTCAAGAAAAGTGGAACATATTTAGCATTTTCAGTGTCAATAAGTAATAGAAATAAAAAGCACAGTTAAGATTTGTAGAAAAATCTATATTGTTTTGATGGGAATTTAAAGTATAAACTGGTACATATTAATTTTACAGATTCAGCAGTACAAGTAAATAAAGGGCTGAAAACTTGGAAACTTCCCTTCCAATATTATACCAACAAAGACATTCATTAACCTTGGTCTATCTTTATTTATATCTACATCTGTATTTGCTCTATTGAGGGATTATAGATACAGATATATCTACACCATACACACACATATATATATACATGTAATACCATACACACATAATTTTTAAATTATTTCCTTTTTACATTTACTTAACGAAGTTTAGAACCACAGTATTCATTTATTCTTCAACTTGCTTTTCTCTCCTAACAACATATGCATGTTAACAGTTGAATATTACTACATTGTATGGATCCAGTATAAATTATTCAATCATCCTTCTAATGTTATATGCAGGTTGATGTCAGCTTTTCAAATGTATAAAGTCCTACAATTCTAGTTGTGTACTACTGATTCCCCAAAACAGAACTTTGGGGTTAAAATATACATTTTAGGGGTTAAGAAGGTGGCTCAGTGGTAGAGTGCTTTCCTTGCATGCATGAGGTCCTGGGTTCAATTCCTCAGCACCACATAAGCAGAAAAAGCCGGAAGTGGTGCTGTGGCTCAAGTAGTAGAGCGCTGCCTTGAGCTGAAGAGCTGAGGAACTGTGTCCAGGCTTAGAGTTCAGGCCCCATGACCGACAAAAAACAACAACAACAACAACAACAACAGAAAACACATTTTAAACAGAAATATATACTGAGTAAATATCCTTCCTAATTCAGACTCCCAATAGCCAGGCATATAAGCGTGCTTTTTCCAAGTAACTGGGAAGGTTACAATCTTGTCAATATAATGGCTACCAAAAACGAAAAAAAAAAATGGCACTGTGTTTTTTATTTGTACCTACCCCTAGCTGCTAATCAGTTTGAGTGTTTTGTTGTTATAGATACTGGTTCTCCAAATTTTCTCTTTGGTGGACTGTTTTTTACTTGTTTTTATAGTGTACTATATATAGTTGTTTCTGCTTGTAAGTTTATATACAGATTTGTTATCACAGAAAATTGGACTCATAATGCTTTAAGGTATTAAAAACATCCATTTTATTTTCTTTTTATTATACATTTCAAGGTATAAAATACAATTAAATGAGTTTATTGATTTAGGAATTGACTATCATGTGTCTATAATGCATAAATACAGTGTCTATCCTTCAGCAGCTTAATTGTAATAGGGAAATACATTAAAGATGCACAGACTAAGGTGAGAATAAAAGATTATCTATGACTAAATGGAAAAAATGGGTAATAAGAGACCAGAGAGTACAAGAAGTACTTCTGTTCATGGCATAAGTTTTCTCCTAAATCCAGACCAAAGCAAAACCAAAAAATAACTATATAAAGTCTATGTTTGAACTCAATGGTCCTCAAAGTGAGACATGTGTTCAGACCACACAGGCAGTGACCCACTAGGTAATAGGGGGAAAAACAGTTAAAGTATCTATTTTAATTTTCACCTAAAAAGAAAAAAATAACAAAATGTGTGTATTTTTTAAGCTTTACTTGATTACTTTGTAACACTGTTATCAAGTCACTCCTTATAGCCTGTTAATAAAGTAACCTGTAGATTACACAACAGTGGGATTAATAGTCCTGCATTACTTACACACTGAGCTAAAGAAACTTCAAACTTTATTATATAAGTTTATCTAAATTACCTTTCCAAAATGAGCAAGTGGTTTGAGATGGCTTCTACAAAAACTTAAGGAATCAGGCTGGGAAGGTGGCTCAGTGGTAGAGCGCTTGCCTTGCATGCCTAAGGCCCTGGGTTCGATTCCTCAGCACCACATAAGCAAAAAGAAAAAAGCCGGAAGTGGCGCTGTGGCTCAAGTGGTAGAGTGCTAGCC